TTTTTTTGAAGATGGGGTTTCACCATATTGGTCAGGCTAGTCTCAAACTCCTGACCTCAGGTGATCCGCCCACCTCAGCCTCCCAAAGTGCTGGGATTACAGGCTTGAGCCACCTCGCCCAGCTCTTCTTTTGTTTTTTAAGAGACAGGGTCCCACTTGGTCACCCAGGCTGGAGTGCAATGGTGTAATCATAGCTCATTGCAGTCCCAAACTCCTGAGCTCAAGTGATCCTCCTGCCTCAGCCTTGTAGCCTGGGACTACAAGTATGCACCGCCATGCCTTTTATTTTATTTTTTGTAGAGATGGTGTCTCACTAGGTTGCCCAGTCTGGTCTTGAACCCCTGGGCTCAAGCAATCCTCCCGCCTCGGCCTCCCAAAGTGCTGGGATTACAGGTGTGAGCCCCCATGCCCAGCCTTTTTTTATTTTATATTTTAGAAAATACTTGGACTAGAAGTAGGGTGAAAGACATTCTCAAGGTTGTCTAGACCAGCCTCCCATCAGAGACTTTTTTTAAGCCAGTGTTTTACTGATATACAATTCAATGCAGTAAAATGCACTCTTTAACCAACTTGGCCAACATGGTGAAACTCGTGTCTACTAAAAATACAAAAATTAGCCAAGCGTGGTGGTGCATACCTGTAATCCCAGCTACTCAGGAGGCTGAGGCAGGAAAATTGCTTGAACCCAGGAGATGGAGGTTGCAGTGAGCCGAGATCGTGCCACTGCACTCCAGCCTGGGCGACAGAGTGAGACTCCATCTCAACAAAAAAAATAAAAATTAGGGCCAGGCATGGCGGCTCACGCCTGTAATCCAAGCACTTTGGAGGCCAAGGCAGGCGGATCACCTGAGGTTGGGAGTTCAAGACCAGCCTTACCAACATGGTGAAAGTCTTGTTAAAAAAAAAAAAAATATATATATATATATATATATATATATATATATATATATATAAAGAAAAAATAAATAAAATGCACTCTTTAAGTGCACATTCCGATGAATTTTGACAAATTTATTCATACTTGGAATCATCACCACAGTAACATTTTAATCCCCATAAAAGTTTCCTAGGGCCTGTTTCCAGTCAGTCCCCTGTCCCAGCCCCTAGCCCTACTTACCCAATCTTTGTCATTATAGCATTTGTATTTTCTAGTGTTTCATATAACTGAAATCATACAGTATGTGCTCATGTGTCTGGATCCTTTCCATCCGTATAATTTTTTTTTTTTGAGACGGGGTTTCACTCTTGTTGCCCAGGCTGGAGTGCAGGGCACAATCGCGGCTCACCGCGACCTCTGTCTCCCCAATTCAAGAGATTCTCCTGCCTCAGCCTCCTGAGTAGTTGGGATTACAGGCATGTACCACCACACCTGGCTAATTTTGTATTTTTAGTAGAGACCAGGTGCGGGAAGTAGAAAAGTTCCTTTTTATAAAGTTTCCTTTCTTGTTAAAGAATAAGTGTGCTAATAACTTTGTTAAGCCCTATCCTATGCAGCTGTGAGACATGCCATGCTTACAGGCACGTAGTACATTCTATGGCCTTGTACTTTAACCAAGATATCTGTGCTGGATGTACTCACAGGCATGTCCCAGCTCTCCATTGCTTTTACATGTTTAGAAAAGTTTTAAGTTGTTAGCCAATTGGCTTTTAGTTTAGATTGTGAGGTCTGGCTCCAGCCAATGGAGATCAGACACAGCAGTAAGGACCACTCCAAATGCGTAAGGGATAAATTTGTGTGTTTTCCTTTGTTGATTGTACTCTCATGGCAGGATAGCTATCGAGAGTACCCTTCTTGCAGTCCAGGAAGTAAAAATTGCATTGCTGAAAGGTCCTTGTCTCAGTGCACATTTTTCTCTGTGGCACCGAGCATCTATTTCCAACACAGGGTTTCACCATGTTGGTCAGGCTGGTCACTCCTGGCCTCAGGTGATCTGCCTGCTTTGGCCTCTCAAAGTGTTGGTATTACAGGTGTGAGCCACCACTGCTGACCTTCCATTGGTATAATTTTTAAAACCTTTACCCATGTTGTAGCATGTATCAGTAATTCATTTCTTTTTATTACTGAGTAGTGTTCCATTGTAGGTATATACCACAATTTGTTTAGCTATTTATCTGTTGATGAACATTTGGGTTTTTCCTAGTGTTGGGCAGTCACAAATAAAGCTCCTATCGATATGTTTTCATTTCTCTTGGATAAAACTTCAAGATTGGGATTGCTGGGTCTTTTTTTTTTTGAGACGGAATTTCACTCTTGTTACCCAGGTTGGAGTGCAATGGCATGATCTCAGCTCACTGCAACCTCCACCTCCCAGGTTCAAGCGATTTCTTTTCCCCTAGCCTCCCTAGTAGCTGGCATTACAGGCATGCACCACCATGCCCAGCTAATTTTGGTTAGGCTGGTTTCGAACCATCTAACCATGGTCCATGGTGGGTCAGGCTAATTTCGAGCTCCTGACGTCAGCATGTTGGTCAGGCTGGTTTTGAACTCCTGACTCAGGTGATCTGCCCGCTTTGGCCTCCCAAAGTGCTGGGATGATAGGCATGAGCCACTATACCTGGCTTTGCTGGATCTTATGGTAAGTATATATTTAACTTTATAAGAAACTGCAGGCCCAGTGTGGTGCATCTCAGCAATTTGGGAGGCCGATGTGGGAGGATCCCTTGAGGCAATGACTTCAAGATCAACCTGGGCAACATAGTGAGGCCTCATTTCTATAAAAAATAACAAGTTAGCTGGGTGCGGTGGCTCATGCCTGTAATCCCAGCACTTTGGGAGGCCAAGGTGGGCAGATCATGAGGTCAGGAGTTCAAGACCAGCCTGACCAACATGGTGAAACCAGCTCTACTAAAAATACAAAAATTAGCTAGGCATGGTGGCGGGCGCCTGTAATCTCAGCTACTCAGGAGACTGAAGCAGGAGAATCGCTTAAACCTGGGAGGCGGAGGTTGCAGTGAGTGGAGATCACACCACTGCACTCCAGCTTGGTGACAGAGCAAGACTGTGTCTCAAAAAATAAAATTAAAATAAAATGTTACCTGGGCATCGTGGTATGCATCTATAGTCCCCACTACTCGGGTGGCTGAGGCAGAAAGATTGCTTAAGCCAAGGAGTTTTAGGCTGCAGTGAGCTATGATGGCACTCTAGCCTGGGCGACAGAGCCAGACCCTGTCTCAGACACACACACACACACACACACACACACACACACACACACACACCACACAGAGCTGTTGTCTTTGCTCCCTTGTAATTGGGCAGTAGATCCTTTCTCTGATTCATCTTGGAATGCTGTTGTCTCTGTCCCCTCATTTTATTTATTCATTTTTATTTTTAAATTTTTTTG